ATCAGTGGGGTAAATCCATCTTTCAGTTAGGATGCTGAGTCCGATTCCCAAGCAAAGACAGGTTTTGTATCAGGGTCATCTTTAAACTTACCCCATTTTTTGTTTCCCCACCATGGGTGAATGGAAAGATCATTTTCTCCTGTGTGACTCCCTGTTTATGGCATCACCAGAGGGATGAACTGGACAACAGAATCATCTGGCATAGAGAAAAGCAGCTGAAAAATTGTTCCTTCAAATGCCTCCAGTGCATGCTTTATCCCTTTTGCTGTGCTGATACCACTGTTAAATGTAGGTGATGACACATCCTTTTCAGGAACAGTACGGTATGCACAATTTTCACAAGTTACACTGGTCTCCTGGGGGAAAGAGCTACAGCTTGTCCCATCAGTCTGCCTTGCCATCCTGTTCAATGCCAGGTTGCTGACCCTTTGTCTCATCAGGACAATTTGGCCTCTGCATTCAACCTGGGCCTGTCGAAGCAACATACAGAAATTAAGATGCATGCATGTATATATATCTGTATATATATGTATGTTAAATTATAGGCATAATAACTATACATAATTATTACATATATAATTATATATAATACATATGTATGTATTGTGTGTCTGTGTGTGTGTGTATATATATATATATATATAAAATGACATAGGTGGGAAGGGGAAGGCAGGCAGCAAGGAGCACGGGGACAGGACAGGAGATGTGTGAGGAGGGGAGGGAAGGAGAGGTCAGGGCACAGGCAGCAGAAGCCAGAGAGGACAGCGAGGGGCTGTGCAGGGAAAACAGGTGAGGGGGGTCTGCAGGGCTGGGGATGGAGAAAGCAGCACAGCAGCAAGGAGGCAGGGAAGGGGAAGGGGAATGGGAAGGGGAAGGGGAAGGGGGGAGAGCTCAGGGGCCTTCACCTCGGGGTCTGTGTGAGAGGGTGGTAGGAGGGAAGGAGCTGGTTGAGGAATGAGGGGTACAAAAGCAGTGGGGGCAGGCGGGAACAAGCACCAGAGGCAGAAGGGTAGTGGGAGAGATGGGGGAAACCCAGACACACTGTGGTGCATTGTTTTTAATGTGCTCTATGGCAATTGGACCTGTTCCTGCAGCGTGGGACTGTAGCTCAGTATGAGCCAATGCATCTGTCTGACAGGCTGTCCTCAGGAGCCGTGACTGAAATAGCCGCTGTCCGTGGCCGCGCCTGAGGACAAGGTTGTGCAGCCCTCTCTTTGCTTGCCTGTTGTTTTCCCTGCACTCACCCCAGCAGAGATAAAATTTTAAGTGCGAGCTTTGACCTGCTGGGGGGTGAGTTCCAGCCCTCAGGTGCTGCTCGTGTCCTTTCAGCCATTGGGCCAACGTACCCAAAGTGTAGAAATGTGTGAGAAACAGAACAAAGTTTCCTAGGCTGCTGTTTGAAATCATTAAAAAAGTGGAAAGAAGAAACAAACAAACAAACAAACAAAAATTACAAGTATTTCTTCTTTTAAAACCAAGAAAATAGATCCCTCAGGCTAGGAAAGATTGAAAGTCTTCTCTGCAATCTAGCTGCTGTGGAGTGGGTTCCGTCCCACTTGAAGCCGGGAACTTGGGTGCAAAGTGTTTTCAATGGCAGAGTGAATTGTGCCCCTGTAGTATGGGTTTTCATCTTCTCTCATCCTAGGGCAGAGTCCTTTTAATAATTTTCTTGATTCAGTGATGAGTTTTCATGGCCTGTACGTGAAATGGTTTATTCCCTGCATTCAGGATTTCAGCAGGGCGTTAGAGAGGTGAACTTGGGTTTTCTCTTAGGAGGTGGTGAAGCCCTTTGGAGGATTCATCCTAAATTGCAGACAACAAAGCCAGGATAAACCTGCCCTCATGTACTACACATGGCTCATACTTTGCTCTTGTGCCTTCTGTGATGGAGGGGAGTTCACTGTGCTGCCTCACTACCACAGGGTCTCTACCTAAATTGTTTATAAAAGTGTGATGGAGCACATAGCCTGGGATGT